TTATTTGCGGGATTCACCAGTTCTAATCTGCCGTTTCAAAATGTCTTCGCTGCTTTGTTTTCCTCTCTACTATTAGTTTTCCTCCTGCAAACCTAAAATTAATGGAGTGACTATTCTTTTCCAAATTATTGATATGGTATCAAACATATTTGGCTATATTTGGGCCAGAAGTCCGCCATGATTTCTTTCTTGGAACATCAGCTAAATAATGCCTTATTTTGTTACTGGATTTTATCATCTGCTTTTTTATAAATGGTACTGGATATTCACATATTTTAATCTTGAGTTATTGGTGGTGTTATTGCTCGTTGGTCTTTTGTTTATTACTGTGTTGGCTATGGGATCTATTTTCTTTGTGGGTCATTATCGCTGCAATCATTGGCTCTGAGAAATTTTCTGACTCACTTTGGCATAGGTCATTGCCTTGTCGCAGAGCCAACTTGAAGAGGCTATGAACCCTGCCAGGTTTGAAGCACATGCAGCTTCTGTTGGAGCTCATGGTGCAGTCACTGAGCCCATCTTACCATCATCATCCATCTTAACAAAGGACAAATCTTTTTCTTCTGCTGCAAGTCCAATTAACTCCCTGCTTGCTGGCGAGAAAATTCAATTTGGTAACCCTCCTTGTCATATCATATGCATGTATTATTGAGTTATCATTATATTGTTCGGATAATCTAATCCACCGTTTAATAGGTGCTGTTACTTCCCCAACAGTCCTTCATACTAGTAGTCGTGTTGTTTCACATGGGATTGGAGCTCCAGGATCTAATCGAGCTGAAGTACAAATTTCCCGTAATATTTCTCCAGATGAGAGTGATTGTACCCTTTTCTTTGAGAAAGACAAACGTGCAAATGATTCATGTGTAAATGTACAAGATTGTGAGGCTGAAGCTGAAGCAGCTGCTTCTGCTGTTGCTGTAGCGGCTATCAGCAGTGATGAAATTGTCGGGAATGGACTAGGCTCTGCTATTTCAGAAGCTAAAACCTTTGAAGGTACGATGGTTGAAATATCCCAATGTGCTTTGTTTATCATTTGATTGTTCTGTCAGTAACCTTTATTAATCAGTCTGTATGGCAGGTGATCAGCAATTGAGCAGCCAATCAAGGGCAGAAGAGTCTCTTAGCGTATCTCTTCCTGCTGATCTCAATGTTGAAACTCCTCCGATATCATTGTGGCAGCCCCTGCCAAGTCCCCAGAATTCTTCGAGCCAAATCCTATCTCATTTTTCTGGTGGCCCACCGTCACATTTTCCTTTCTATGAGATGAATCCTGTGTTAGGTGGTCCTATTTTTGCCTTTGGTCCACATAAAGAGTCGGGTGGCTCCCAATCACAGTCACAGAAGGCTACTGTGTCTAGTTCAGGTCCACTTGGTGCATGGCAGCAATGCCATTCTACGTTGGACTCATTCTACGGTCATCCAGCAGGGTTTACTGGCCCTTTCATAGGCCCACCCGGAGGTATCCCTGGGGTTCAAGGTCCACCACACATGGTGGTCTATAATCATTTTGCACCAGTTGGACAGTATGGCCAGGTTGGATTGAGCTTTATGGGTACCACTTATTTACCTTCTGGAAAGCAGCCTGATTGGAAGCACACACCCTCATCCTCTGCAATGGGCATCGCCGAGGGGGATATGAATAACGTAAATATGGCTGGTTCTCAGCGGAATTTATCAAATATGCCTGCTACCATCCAGCATCTTGGCCCTGCTTCACCAATTATGCCCATGGCTTCTCCTTTAGCCATGTTTGATGTATCTCCATTCCAGGTAAGGAATGCGATTCCATCAGCATGTGAGTTGATCTGTTGGATTAACGCCCC